CGTTGTGTTGTTTGAGCACCAATGTTATCTACAAATAAAACAATATAGTTTAGTACATTTTATTATAAGAAGAAGCATAAATAACATTAGCATAAATAAACTAATTACTTACAAGTTGTCATATGTTCCATTTCCTTGTAGAATTCAACATCATCATCCATGCGGCTATACTTTGTGGTTTGCGGTAACTGCAAGTTTTGAAAATCAAATACCGCAACCGCAACCGCAAATGCGTTTCAGTTATTAATACCGCAAATGTGGTTCGGTTTACCGCGATTGCGGTTTCATTGCGGTAAATTGTCGGTTGGTTTTTGCGATTTTTCGGTTTAAAATGCCACCCTTAATTTTTACAATCCCTCCCTAAAATTTGTCTAAAGAGATGGTTTAGAGAGCCCATTGTGTGGCTCCAATCATACTCCCTATCCACCTCCTAAAATAGGGAGTCCTCTAGGAACCCCTAAATCTGAGGAGAGATAAAGGACTTCTAGTGACTCTCTATAATTTAATGATGTTTTATTTAATGAGTATTTCAAACTTTTATTAAATAAAGGTCATGCTAGGGAGATTAACTTTAAATACCAACTTATGTATCATCTTTCTAATAGAGGTGCAATTCATCAATATAATGGGTCTCATACTCTATTAGAGAGATGGTACACAAGTTGGTATCTAAAGTTGGTCTCTCCAGCATGACCATTTATTTAATGCTAATTATTTTTTATTTTATTTTTTAATAGAGATAGACCAATCAAAAAAGAGTTATAGAATTTATGACTCTCTAAATTAGGGAGTATGATTGGAGCTAAATTTTTTTAGAGAGTTTCTAAAATAGATTTCTTTTATTTTTAACTAAATTTTAACTAATAAATAGAGAGCATCATTGCGAATGCTCTAATGCAAGTCATTGTCATACCTTACCAAGTCATAATTACTAATTAGTACTTTATTTATGGCTAAAGATTTACCAAGTCATAATTACTAATTAGTACTTTATTTATGGCTAAAGATTGATTATAAACCGTACTAATTCGATTCAAACAAAGAAAGTAAGACAATTAATTAAACCGTACTGTGTTTTACAAAAATTGGTCGAAACCGTAATGTGTTTAAAATTAATTGTAAAGTCAGGCACAAACACCCTTAGCGTGGCCCGTCTTTTGTTAAAAATGAGGGCGATAATAAGCGTAGCGGAGGGAACTAGAAAGAGAAGTAAAACAGACCAGGGAGTTTGGGAAAGATAGCTAGGCACGCAATTAAATGGACCACACCATAAACATTATATTGTTCTCGCAAAGCCAAAAAGGAAGGAAAGAAATAATAATAAAATAAAAAACCTTCGCCACAATAGAATTTCCCAACAAAAATAAAAGAATACGCTGATGAATCCAGATGGAAAATTACAACTGTTCAAACATCTCACCTAAACTACATGACAAAACGGGGGGATTACCTCATAGGACTATAAACTAATCTACAGTGATCATGCCTTACAGTTAATATTAGTAGTTTGCCATACCGGAGAGATAAATAAACAACATGGAAAGAAAGGATAGATAGTAAACATAGATTGACAAGCCACAACAATGGCCATTTGCATGATGTTCAGTGACACCCATATTGCACCTCAAGCAGCCGCCTGGATCGGCCCATTAGACCTATAGCCACGGCCTCTTCCACGATATCCCCCCCTTCCACGGCCACGTCCTGCACAGCAATTCCCATCACATATTGAAATCAGAAGGAATTCATAAACCTATCCAATTGGCTAAATACAGCTGCCAATGATAGTCTATCAAGAAAAAGATTCCATGTGTATGCACACAGTACTACTCTCTTATGCTTGGATATAAGGAAAATTCATGCAGACATACCATGGCCACCTTGAGCAGGTGCTTCTTCATTGTACTCTCCATCTTGTTGTCCATCAAACTGGGGCCCATTGTACCCTCCCCTTCCACGGCCTCGGAAACCACGTCCTCTACCACGGCCCCTACCCCTGAAGTTACTGCGACTGCGGTCGTAACCTCCATCATCAAATTCAGCTGACACAAAGCCATTTCCTGCGATTACGGACATATTAATTACCGTATCAAACCAAATTATCACAAAAAGCCCTGTTTTATAGCCAAAACCAACTCCTATTCAGGCTATCATACCATCCACCTATCATGCCACCTTAAAACATCACAATGCTTTCATCAAACCACATTTACTCCATCATGTATAGAAACTAATGCAACAATCCCACACCACTTTTAAGGGCTACAGGGCATAAGTTTGCAAAGAAACATTATACAGCCAGTAGAATCTATACCAGAAAATATTTAGCAAAAGGTAACTGAAGAGTAGAAAACATTAACAATCACATCAATGACTACCTCTAAACCTTCCCCTTCCTCTGCCACGTCCACGTCCACGGCCACGACCATTTGGGGAGCCCCCTGAAGATAACAGAAAGGTTTTACAAATGTAAAATAACAACAGGAAGAAAATAAAATTAATAGGCAAACAAATGAACGTGGCTCATAAATTGGCACTACCTCCTTCATAATCAATCTCTGTCGATGCCTTCACGAGCTCAGCAGGTAAAGGTGACTGGTACCTGATGGTAGCAGTACTTCCAAATGTTAACATATCTCTTAATAAAATGGCATGACCAATAAGAAAATATAAAATATCAAAATAAATTTTTATGTAAAAGCCTACGTAATTTCAGACCACATCAAACATATAACAACAATTCAGAGAATACTTCAACTTTATAATTCTTGTAAACAGCTAATAGTATAGGCAAAACAAAATTAATCATCCATACTCAAACCATAAAACAGATCTTAACGTGTGAAACAAGCAGTCCTCAATACCAAGAACCATTGTAAATTGGGTAGACTTATAAGAGATCCTACACAATTTCAAGTGATATGGTTCCATAATGCCAACTATGGTCAGCAGGAGATATTTTACTTAAGATAGCACAGCTCCAGTCCAACCTTAGGTTCTATTCCTAACAAGAAAGAGGTAACTAGTATAAACTCACCCGATAGAAGATGTATTTATTTCCTTCTTGGACAGTGTTACCACAATCATCGACACATGCCTTGTTGACTCCAAACTGTGGCAAAAAAAGGGACAAAATGAGGCATAAAAGCACACATAAGGGACAAGGCCCAAAACTACAACCCCTCATGAGATACTGCAAATGAATCAGTGTTGTTCAAAACAAGTTTTAAAATACTCTTACGTGTTGAGGCCTTCCTCAAGGGGTTCATATATATCAGTTATGTCGGTAGATCCAATTGTAGTGTTCTGATGAAGACCAACAATTCTTCTCTGAAAACAAGTAACACTAATATCTCATCAATATAATCCACAAATTGAAACGTCTGATAACGAGTACAGTGATACAAAATGAGAAATGTAACCTTAATTAACTCCACGATTGTTACAGTCTTGTTGATAGCTCTCCCCATAGCCTTGAATACAATTTCGTCCGATCCCTTTTCCTGCAAGGCGTTGCATAGGAGGATAAGGAAAAAGCTAAGATGTCATATCAAATAACAGAGGTCTAACATAACCTCAGCCACTATAAACAGTATATAATACAATACTTAGTTGCATATCCCACAAGGTAGAAAATTAACAACAGAGTTTAATTTCGCTGCACCAGAATCCCCAACATATCATCATTCTTCTTCTAATTTGATGTGTGATAAAACAATTTCATGCATCTCAAAGCTCGCATATAATGTGAAAATCAAAGAAAAAATGAAAAATAGAAGGCAATAGTAAGGGGAGACAGACCTGAAGCAGGGTCATGGCGTAAGTAATGTAGTTGCGCATCCTTCCCTGGCTGGTAATCCTAATCTCGTTCTCATCAATTGGCGTCTCCACTCTTGGCTTCTCCACTCTCTGGTACCGATCCATCTTTTTTCCGCGCTGCAGTTTTTAAAAACAGCAAAATTATTTTAGTCAAAAGCAGGCATACATACGTCATGCAACATAA